GAACCCTCCTTGAATCGGGCTGGTTTCCAAACAGAGGATTTTAGTCTCTATGCTTGTGCTTCTCCAAAAACACCCATCCAGGCAGGGGGATATGGAGAATTTGCAGCCTTCAAGTAGCCACACCGTCACGGCAGCATCTACTCTTTATTTCTTAACTCTTGTGTTCGTACAGTTCATTAACATCAAAACACAGTTCTGTTCCTCAAATCTTTTTTTAAAGATACAAAATTTTCAATGTGTAAGCTGGTATGGAACGGAATGGAATTCCCTATCCATCAAAAGAGGACAGAATGTTTTAGGAACCAGAATTCTTTGCTGCCAGTGTTTCTTCTTCAACACAAATACCACGTGCATACAAGTCTGCCCACTCCCGGGAAGAAAGAGGAGAGACCCTGAGTTCTGACCTTTTGATGGTCAGGCGTGATGGAAAGAAACTGCTGCTACAGCTTGGGAGATTTGCTATGGAAAGTCTGCCAGTCAACTTTGTCCTTCTAACCACCAGATCAGTTTGTGGCTGATCATCTGATGGGGCAGTTTCAATCACCAAGCACCGTTCTCTTTGCTGTTCTGGGATGTTGTTTGTGGAGCTCTTTCCCTGGCCGCCACTGGTTAATTAATTTCTGAGGGATGGAACCAAAATGCAGCATACCCTTTCTGCGTGGCACATGGTTAGTCCCTGACAGATTTTCTCACAGTGCAGTTCTCTTGTTTAAAAAGGGTGAGGGGCGAGGAGCACATGGGGCAGAGGACAAGGGAATGCTGCATCTTCTTCCTGACCTCCCTGGTCTCTGGCCTCTGGCTGCCTTGTTCCCTGGGTTCTGCCTAACCACGCAGGCTGGACAGTGCTGGCACACATCGCCTTCTTTTCTCACTGGGTCCAGCAATGAAGATGAGGGTTGGGGACTCGTTTCCTCCACTACGTAGCAGATTCTCAGGAAAATACAGTCTAAATCTTCTCTGAGCTCTTCCAGTCACCAAGTACTTACGTGGCTACTTCGTCCAGGGCACTAAATGCCATGGATAGTATCGAATTAAAAGCCTACAAAACTGCTTAATAATAGTTTTGAATGTGAGAAAATTATGTAATTTAAATGTAAGGTACAAGTTTTCATTTCTGAGTTTCTTCTATTATATTTTTATTAAAATAAAAATAATTTTCAGATTGAATTGAATTGGAATACAATAATACTTCCCACCAGAATTATATATCCTTAAAATTGTATTTTTGTTATATAATCAACTTTTAAAGAAAGATTATTACCCTTTTCTCTACGTAAATATGGGGAGTCTTAGCATAATGACAAATATTTATAATTTTTAAATTAATGGTACTTGCTGGATCCATACTAACATCTTTGCTAATAATCTCATTGTTTCTTCCAACTTACTTCTACAATACATCCTACATCCTCTTTCTAGTCTTTTATCTAGAATATGCAACCTAAAATAAAAACAGTGGTATCTCCATTCATTCTCTTCCTTTTTTCCCAAGCCTGGTCTTCAAAAGGTTGGGTATTGGCAGCTGAGTTGGTACCTGGCAGCAGGTAGAGAACAGAAGCGTTAGGGATATTGGGGCTGAGGGAAGATGTGTGAAGTCTGTCATCGGTGTTTTTTGTAGGAAGCTGCTGTGGTGTGAGAAGCTCAGTCCACCCCATCTTGATATAAACGGAAAATAGAACCTAGTCATAGCTTCCCTTGGCCTTTATTAAAGGGTGTCACAAATCACAGTAATAGCAAAGAAAGTGACTAGATGGACTAATGGCAAATTAACGGCAAATATCTCCCTTTTGGAGAGTCTAGAATCATTTATTGGGATTTAGGAATGGGAATCAAATGAGATGAGACCTTAACCTAACTAAGCCACAGCCAAGGACCTGAAAGAAATTCAGCAAGACCTAAAATAAATCAGGAAGTAAAAAACTTATTTAAATGCCTCAGATTCTCACTCCTGGCCCCACTCTCTATCCTGGCCTACTTGCTGCTTACTCACCGCCCTTAGCTGGTTTTTGCTCACATACCTGTCATCAGAGGGTGGCCCGGTGAAAAGTGTTTTTAGCTCTTACATGAACATAGCATGCTTTTAAATATGGCTGGGTTCCCTTCACCAAGACTGACTCAGATCTCACACCCAGCTGGAGAAAGCTAGGTTTGAACCTGGCACAGGTCCAGGTCCTGCTGAGGAAAGACCTGCCATTTGGGCCTCACCCCAAGACAAAGCCTGCACTTACCGCAGAAGATTAGCATTGGAGTTTTCTAAACAAATGCGGATGATCTAATTTTTTTCTTGCTTTCATTTTAGAATAGGTTGCTACTTGATTTGAAAAGAGGGAGCAGACTTGATATCAAATGAAACTGTCCAGAAGCCAGGCTCAGCATATTGTGAGATTTTTATAGAGAACTTTAAAAATAGACATTAATAAAATGTTTAAACTTTATTTCCCATGAAATAGGTTTTTTTCTATTTACAAATGACATGAAAAGAGGTTTCCTTTTGAGTTTCATTTTCTTTATTTTTCATGCTTAGACTACAGAAAGACTTGTTGAGCTCCTAAGAAAATGCAAGGAAGAAGTCCTTGTCTGTGCAGAGCACTTTATGAGTACATTGTGTAGACAGTGTGTGGCTGCTTCATCAATCACCTGTTATGCAGTAATTGTCAGTCTTGTCTGGAAAGTGGCTTCAGTGCCTTCTGCCATGTGTTTTGTTTTTGCTAGGGGGAATGAAGCCTTCTGAAAAATTTGAAAGCAACAATAGAAGATTTTTTTAAATATATAATATTCATGATGGACTTTTTTTCATCATTAAACTCGGGTCAAGGACTCTTTTTTTGTTGTATTTTTTGAGACAGAGTCTCACTATATACATAGTTCAGGCTAACCTTGAACTCACTGCATAGCCCAGGCTGACCTTGAACTAGCGGTGATCCTCCTGCCTCAGCCTCTAAGTGCTGGGATTACAGGCATGCACCACCATGCCTGGCAAAGACTCAGACTTGCCACTGAAATAATATTGACAAAAAAAAAAAAAAATAGTTTATAAAAGAGATTTGTGAGTAGAAAATCCAATGTGATCATTTTTATTTATGTGTACCATAAAGATTCTGTGTAGCTATCAAATTCTGGTTCCTGAACCTCCTACCCCTGATGGTATTTAAGGTCTGGCAGGACATACTGGGCACCTTAGGAAATAAAGTCCCATCTAAATCCCATATTATATTTATGTTTGATGTTGGAGAAGAAAGAGCATTACATAAGGAGATCATTCAGCTGTGTCCGCCTGAAACTTTGTAAATCCTTCTTCCCACTGGGCAGTCGAGGCGCTTCTGTCATACATGTTCTTGGTGTTCATCAGGCAGAGTGGGAGCTCCTATGCCCTCCTCAGACTCACTGTCCCCACAGCACAGCCACCTCGCCAGCCTCCACAAGCCTCCCCATCTAGCTTTAGTGTGAAACACATTGCAAGGTTCAGATCACCTCTTCAAAAAACTACCTCCTCAGAATGGAGTAACGAATAGTTAGTTATTTTAAAATACGAACAGTCAGGAGCTCTAGAACATGAAGATGATTTAAGATGGTATGTGTACTTGTATCTGAACACACTTTGTCTGAAAGGGCATTGTATATTTAAGCAGTGATAATAAGAAAAAACACAAAGTGTAGCTCAGAGTATCTGAACGTTATTGAAAGCAGTGCCAGATCTGTTTAGGGGTTTATTTCAGAATCTTAACCTGAAGTCAGTTACGTGAAGTTACATGGTTATGGTATCACTTTGCTACAGGTAATGTAACTTTATATTGCAGTAGACTTGGCAAGACAGTGTATCTTCATAATGAGTTAGCGACAGCTCCGTCACATGCACAGATGCTCATATAAATAGACTGCCCAGCTAACCGGGTAGGATGAACACCCTGGTGCAGGGTTCTCTCCTTTGTCCGGGTTGGTGTCCTTACTGCTAGAATAAACATCAGCACCTTGAATTAGCAGGTGTCAACCACTAGCTACCCAGACCCACAGCCAGCACTGGAAGATGTGAGTATGAGCAGTGAATAACTTACAGGTCATGCAGCAAAATGGTGGAGGGGAGGAGGCTCTAAAAAATACCTTGACAATTTGCCAAATGATCTTATTACTGTGCCTTCAAGATGCAATAAAACAGCTAAAATTTTAGCAGAAATCAGTGATTTATGAAGAGAGCAGCCACTCTGGTTCAACTCGTGTTAATATTTTTTTAGAGTGCAATTTAGACTGCAAAGATAAATGCACTAAAGAGTTTATAGCCAAAATCATATTTAAAAGTGAGAAAACAGGTAAATTTTCAGTGAACAAATTATTTTTTTAAAGCACATAATCCCTAGTATAGTCAGATGTATTTATCACATAGAGCAACTAGGTTGAAAATAGAGTTCAGTGTCATTTCTAGAGAAACTTTTTCTACTCCCGTAGGTTCTTCAAAGCATGGAACTTTTATACATCAGAAATGTTTGGGGCATTTTAAGAAACTGCTATAGTGTAGTGTTAAGTACTGTATGCTGGGCAGCAATCATGTGTATTGACCTAGAAAGGAGAAATTAAAATATAGGACAAAATTTGATTTGATCTATTTCCAGAGTACTGCTGCCAATCTAGACACTGATTTTTCCGAGTTTGAAATGTAAACTTGCCTCCCAGGACTTGTTTGCAAGTGAAGCTGGCGGGTACTATGACGATGCTCTGGTGCACAGTGTGGGCCAAGGAGGGAGCCTCTGGAGGGGTCCCTTGCAAAGGGCCGTTGAAATCATGAGCAGCCTGGCCAGTGTGCGTGAGACGGGCCGCGCTTTCTGAATCACGCCACCCCACCCCAAGACAGCCAGTGCACTGTCTGCAGCTCAGCCTGCAGCTGTTTCACTGAGGACTCCGGTGAATCACTGAGACCCAGGGCAGCACCTCTGCCTACAGAGGTTGTGGCTGGGCCAGAGAGTGAAGTGGCCAAGGTGTTCATGATCTGTGCTTCTGGCTCTGGACAAGTTGAAAACTCTGGTATGATGTTTGTGATAGCAGTACACTAGACAATAAGCTTTGTTTTCAAAGGTAACTTATTTTCACTTCTATTTGGGCAGACGTGTAAAATGAAAGTCGGGCCTAAGTTTTGTTAATTGTGGAAAGAATAACAGTTCCTATCAGGTATTTTTAAGGTAAAAGAGGACAGAATCCAAACTCACATTTTTAAATTTAGGGCCAGGGATATAGCTCAGTGGCACAGCGCCTGCCTGGCAAGTGCAAGGTCATGAGTTCGATTCCCAGTACCAAAAAAAAAAGGTGACAGGTTTTATAAAAAGAAAAAAACAAAACACAGACATCATAGGGACAGGTTATTCACAACCTCAATAAAGTGATTAAGATAGATCTTTTATTTCAGCACCCACAATTTCAATTGTTTAGTTGTGGTTTTTGGTTTGGTTTGGTTTGGTTTGGTTTGATTTGATTTGGTCTTTTTGAGACAGGATCTCACTATGTAGTTCAGGCTGGCCTTGAACTCCTGGCGATCCTTCTGCCTCAACCTCCCAAGCACTGGGATTACAGGTGTGCACCACCACACCTGGCTGTTTATTTAGTTTTAATGATTACTAAATCAGTTTCACTAAAATGTTTACTTTTATTTAGCTGTTTTGACTAATTGCAATGATATAACCGATTGTGCATGAGGATACAGCCAGTGTATTGTTTTTTGTGGTGCATTTTTTGGTAAAGAATTCTGTAGATTGAAGTACTCTTTGAAAACAGAACTGAAATATATTTATTCATGTTAGTATCAAAAAGTTTTTTGTGCAAACCATTTGCTTCTCCTGGCAGGCTGAGTACATTGCCCAGCACCCATGAAGGTTGGTTCCATTGGCAGTGTGGGTGCAGGGGAGTTGGGCAAGAAATGAGTGAAGCAGTGTGGCCAAGAGCTGGTTGACAGGGCTGGAGTGGGGGTCATGAGGATGTTGCCGAGTCCCAGTTTTGCTTTGGAAGTCAGTATGCTAAGCCTTTTTGAACCCACGTGTTTGGATGGAGTATGAGCTACATAGGAGGAAACTGCAGACTTAGCGTAAGCAATAGACGAAAGATTGGCACAGATGAGAGGAAATGGACCAAAATGGGTTGCGGGGAGTAGTTAAGTCCACGGGCGAGGGAAAAGCTAATGAGGGTGGGAAGTAATAATTATTTGAAATAAAATGAGTGCAATAAGTGTGCTTTTTATTCTAAGCTGTGAAAGGTTTTTTTTAATCATTCCTTCCTAATACATTTGTGTATGTTCCATACCTGATTAAAACCAGCTATGTAAACATACGCCTTTTTATTCATGTCAGTCACCAACGTCAGTGGCTAACCTTTATGTCTTATTTATCTTCATGTTACATTAGTTTACATACCAGGGAGGGAGAGAGAGAAGGAGGGAGAAAGGGAGAGAGACACTGCATACAGGCTGTGCTGTTTTCCTTCCTGTATTT